GTTTGTCATAATCATCATCTTCTTCGAGATCGTCATCATCACCGGTTTTCCTGTCATCATGGGTATCGTCGCCGTCATATCCCTCATCAACGGCCCCAGAATCAACGACGACGACAGCAACGACAAAAACAACGACAACGACGACGACAACGACAGCAGCCAGCAACATCGACGCTGCTGTCACCACTAGAACCACCAGCACTGGCATCGGCATCGTGATCAATCTCACCATCATTTTCGGTCATCATCGCAACATTCCTGTTATTCCGCATCGTCACCATCTTCATCACCAGCGCTGTTACTGGGGCGCCCACCCATCCGTATGCTTGGGCTTGTCAACCTTCGCAGCTTGCAGAATTGGCCATTGCCAACTTGCCAGGGCAAGAAGCTTCCGTGTGCGTCTGGGCAGTTCTTTGGCCGACCCAACTGGGGCCGGATCTTCAAGCAGACCTCCCGTTGCATTGGATTTGGGTCCTCGCTCGGTTTTGTGAATGGGTAATGTTGCGCAAGTGACTTTGACGGGATTGTTTTGGAGGGGACCGGGCAAATCGAAACGTTTTGCTGCTTCTGCTGAGGTGCAGCATTGAGGTCCAATCACCTGCATTGTTTGTGCGATTGTGTTTTGGTTTTAGGGATTGTCTACATGTTCATGTGCAAGTTCCAGATGCTACGTCGAGCATTGAGGCTTCATGCCGATTAATCACGCTGAGCCACCTAGAACGAACGGAAAATGGGTGTCGTGATTTTGGATCTTCCAGGATTCAAGGCCTTTGCTGCTCCGGAGATGCAGGGCAAGAGGGTGTTGGCACCTGTCATGTGAGCATCGACGACAGCCCCGCTTGTTCCTGCTTGCAGGCCGCAAATTTTCAAACCTTTGAACTCTGAGCCCGAAACTCCAGGAATCGCGACAAGCATCAGGGCGAGCACATCGGTTCCTGCTCTTCACGCTGCAGAAAGGGCGTTTAAGTCTGACCACGGAAGCTCTTAAACATTCAACTCTGGTTTCGACCTTACACGAGATGCGGAAGCGATCCCTAACGCTGACCCAGATAAACCACGTAATGCCGCATCCCGTAGCTCCGAAACCTACGGCCCTACGGGAAGGTTATGTTGTTGTTTTTACTTGACAGAGATATGGTAGGACATGTAGCCATAGGGTAGATGAATGTACGCTTTTTTCGTAAATATCTGTGAAGAGACTCAGGCAACATTACGTTACAAGTAGGTGCTTGAACAACGAGCATCAGAAGGACTCCTCAATCACCAGTCGCAAGATGTGCGACCATGCGAAACACAGCACTACGTTGCCATGGGTCTGAATCAGGGCCATGGGGCCCCCGGTTTGGATGAAACAAGAGTTTTGTGAGTGAAGCGAAACCAAGGTGCGGTTCCCCTATCATTGGCGAGGAGTTGTCCAGGCGCCCGGCTCGGTTCAGCATTGCCGGTTCCCAGTCCCCGGTTCCCAGCGCGAAAACGCATCAGGGCAGTTTGCGCAGCCGTGGGATTTGGAAAGGGTTTCTAGAGTGATTCCAGCGGCTGTTCCGGGGTTGATGTGTTATACTGTTATACAGAGCTGAAATCTGACATGCTGCTTACAGCAAGTCTCACATACGCCATTAGCTCAAGCCCACCCTGCTTCAGCAATCGCGCTTGAGAGTCTCGGATGTAGACGGATCGCATAGCTAGGGTTGGCAGTTCGCAGCCTAACGTGGTTGAACCTCCTCTACCCCTGCACCGTCTCGGATTTGGCTTTAGGGATGTTTCTTGTAAGCTCGCCCATAGCGTCGTTTCTCCAAAGTAATAGGCACTTATACCCATGGGACCTCCATTTCGATTACCGTCGCGCTTGCGGATCTCGAAGGCAGAGCATCAAGAATTCCGACCTCATTGGCACTCCGGGTGGCACCCGCTTCTCCTTCTTCAAGGACGCTTCTTTGTAAGGCTACCCAAAACCTAAACGCCCCTTTGGCCTTCGCCGTACAATGTGAGGGTGCGCATCAGGAGTCTGGACCGAGACGAAACCATAGTAAGGCCTCCCGAAAAGCTTGAGAGATTGTTGCTGGGATTGCAAGCAGGCTCTGAGAGACTAATATGAGTCAGAGCCTTCCCTCCCAGGGGCGTGGCGTCTGAAACTGGGATGAGCCAGCCATAATCAGCCCTAGATTTATTTGAGGCTTCAGGGATTCAGCGCCGTAGGGCCAAAAAGGCACCCGCAGATGAACGTGGTGATTCTGCATGGCTTATAGGCCGTGTCGAAGGGCTTCTGTGGTGAAAATGCCTTAAGCCCTCAAATCCTCAAACCCTGAAGCGAAGCTTGAAACTCCAAGACTTGAGCCATGGTTTGGAAATCAAAATCCCTGTGAGAACTGAACACGTGCCAGGAGCACTTCTGAAGTTGTGCACTCTTCCCTCCACTGCTGCCGAAGGCCTTCGAGACTGGTCGAAACGGCACGTTGTCAGGAGTTGAGGGCTTTGATGAACTTTCGATTGGGTGAGGTTTTGGGCTTGATGTCTTGTTTCGGGCATGAGGCTACGAAGTGAGCGAAGATAAAGATGATGCACAGTACGATGAATATGCGGATCGGGAGACAGGGAAGGATGATGATGATAGTGATGGTGATGGCTGATGCAAATGATGACCGCCTTGAGTGTTTGGCATTACACCGTTCAGGGTACGTGCTGCGGTAGCAACGGGTCTCGATCGGCCTGACCTAGGGAATCATTGCCTTTATGTTCGAGGTTGGTCTTTGCTTCCTCTGCAATCGGAGAATAGAACCATTGTTTACGATCACATTATGGCGTCTTACTTCCGTAACGCCCCTTGACCTGGGCTCCCATGTTGCCAGAAAGCAATCCCCAAACGGCAAAGCTTCTGCCGTGGCCAGTTTGGAGGATACAGCTCTTGCCGACATCGTGTCTTACAGGCCGCTCTATCCTCGTTGCATGATTCAGTTAGTCAGTCAGGTTGTAGTTTCCTGATTCGGATCGAGTAGAGTGAGTATAGCATGTCATGAATGATGACAACCTCAACTTTACCGGGAAGACTTGCACGGTGAACGACTAAGATCGACTGTCGCGGATTTGGGGATGTTGCCTCACGTGCTGTATCACACGAGATGTATTCTGTCGCCACCGGTCTTCAGCATGCAATGTAGCTCATGTACCGTCCACACCAGAATAAGTGCACCGCCCCACACGTCCAAACGCACACACGGTGCACACTGAGCTGTTCCAAATATCGCTGGCACGCAAGCATCTGCCAGGCAAGTCACTTTGAAGCCCATGCCTCCGGATAGCACGCCTCGGATGGCTGATCTCCGCTCTTGGGACAGCCAGAGAGTTGTTGTTTAGTCTTTGCACTGCATGTGCTGGACATGCGCATATGCGCATGTTCTTGTCTAGACCATGCTGAAGCCCTCTCTATAGAGTCCAATGGCACATGTCCATCCAATGTGCTAAACTCAAGTTTTCACTATGCTCAGCCAGACGGCTTCGGCACTGGATCTGCCTGACTGGCATATGCCGCTAAACTAGCAGATCCAACAATTCAGGGTTGCACCCTGAGACCAGAATTTGGCGTGACTGCAGCTTGCCTAATACAGTTACAGCGCATTGCCACTGCGAAGTATCTGTTCAAGTGTCCTCGAGACTCTGGCGTTAGATTTGTTCCGACGCCATCGCCGTGCACATGTGTCCTGCGGTTGCAGTCACGCTGTGCTCTTCCCGCGATGCCTCGGCATGTCACACCCAACCAGTTCATGGAAGGTGTGACACTCACGCGAAGGTAGACGTTTTGCAGTTCGTTGCCTCTCGGAGATCCGAGCTGGCGGCGCACGATGTTCCGGCCCCGCCGCCAGGTGCTTTGCTTTACAGACCGGCAGCTCCCGGTGGCCTCGTTCTGGGAAGACTCTGCCTGAAGGCAAGATGTCTTCTAGGCGAGTAAAGGACATTAAAGGGCCGCGTGGGCTTAATAAGCTCGCGATGGTTCAGGGGTCAATCGGAAGTCCGAGGAAGTCCTTCCCAATAATGCCCTGCGGGTCATCTGTTTACGACCTCAGAAAAACTCACAAGCTGCCCGTTCCGGCCCCGAGCTCTTAGGGTCAGCATCGTATCATAAGACATCCACATGCGGTCTGATCCAATTCCGAACATGGCTCCCCTAAGTCACATTCCACAGACATCCGGGAATCTCGCCCTCAATGCGACTTGGGGTTGATTTGCTCTCGGACGCTCAAGAGTTTGTAGGACTCCAAAAGCAAGCAATCGAACTCCTGAATCCCCAGTCACGTGTTCGGAACCCTGGTTAGCAGCCGTCGTCTTCGACTTCCATTCTGGCCGGCCTGACTGTCTAGCCACGAGAAGCTAGACGTCAGGTTGTTCCTCTCGCGCTCACACTGAACAACAGCTGCTGGTTGGGGGCCTCCGGGTTCTGAGGCAAACCTTGGAAGCCTTCGGAACCCTGCATTTTGTCTTTCCGGCACCCTTTTCCCAGACGCTGAACCGTGACCCTTAGCAACATGTGAAGGGTATGCGGAGTCACGTGTAACAATGATGATGGTGAGCGTTGCTGATATATACATATATATCTACACACATGCCGATGTGTCTGCATGTAGGCAGGTAGGTAGGTTGGCATTTAAGTAGTTAATTAAGTATTCAAGTATCTAAGTAAGCAAGTATGTAGTTATGTATGTATGTCATGTACTTAAAAGTATGTATGTGCACGCAGATATGCCTGGCGTCTTAAAGTCTTACAGAAGATCGGGGGTGGAATGTCTGGTCGGGTTGGGATGGGATCAACACAACATCCCTGTCCGGTGAACTCTCCATGCTTGCTCAGCTGGTAGGCACTCGCGCAGAGCCAGGGAGGGGCATTGAGGCAGCACCAGGGCCTCCACAAGTTTTAAGTCTTATTTATTTCAGGCACTCAACGTCTTGTGAAACTTTCTTCAGCATCTTGCTTCGGCGATTGGGGTGTTTAACTTTCCTCCTTGGATCCAATGGCTCCCACCATGGCGACCATTGCAGCCTGGATGCTGCTGGGGATACGCTCGGTCCAGGCGGACATGTACCTGAACAGCTGGGGCCTTGGAACTCGTAAAATTAGTTGAGCACGAACACATCGCGACATCACGAAGATGACGTTGACCGAGCTGTCGTTGCGCTGTCTTACTATAGTTTTATACACTCTCCCGTTCCGCCATAGACAACTCCTGAAGGAGTCCACTGCCTTCATTAATGTTGCGACTCATCATCGGCAGAGAGTGAGGGACATTTCTTTTTCTCTTGGATACGTTCGACGGGCCTGATTTGTCCATGTGTTCGAAGCCGAGACCCTCGCGGCTCCAACAACAAGCTGCGCGAGCAGAGCAACAACGTGCAGAACGCCAATCGCAGCTTGGCATGCATTGTACTAAGCTGAGGGCAGCCAGCAACTGTAGTCCAGCCTGCGAACGCTATAATCAACAGATTCGTATTCCCCCGAACCAGTGCAACAATACACTGTTTACATACATATGTATATATCTATATATCTATATATCTATATATCTATATATATATGTTCTATATATATATATATGTTCTATATATATATATATATATTTATTTGTATATACACATATGCATGTGCTTATACATAGTTACATATATACATAGATGATGGCATTAGCACTGGGAAGTACAGTAGTCCTAACGGCAGGATGCAAGCAACAAGTGTAATGATACTAGCTGGTACGCGTAGAGGATAAAGCGAAGACGGAACTGGTTGAGGTTGGGCTGAAACTAGATACGGTAACAGGCTTTCGATTATTACTCTTCGGTTTGGGGTTTGGCATTTAAGGTGACCCCTTGGCACTGAGGGTTTCAAGTTTAAGCTTGGGGTTCAGCGCGTCAGAGGGTTTCCGGACGCAATGGCTGCGGCTCCAGTTCGCGCCGCAGTCACCGCCAGCCCCTACCTTGAGCTTCAGGTCTCTTTGACTCCCAGAACAACGCCGCTTCTGGATACCAAATCGGAGATGACTGCAAGCCCGCCTGCAAGGCTTGGTCGAATCCGCATTCGTGCTGGATTCATGTGGACTGGGATGTAGGTCGCAGGAGTTGGGCTGCTTTTCTGGGTGTAGGAACAGAGTCCTGGACGTTTAACGGAGCAACAGCTGCATCGTCACGCCGGCACCACTACCATGCATTACCATCACAGCCACCATCGCAGCCGCCGCCACCCTTGCCCTTGCGGCGAGCATCCCGCATCGGCAGGCCAAAGCTTGTGTCTCGATGTCATGACCACGACGGCAACCCCCTCTACTACTGCTACGAATAAGACGTTGCTGCTAGTACTACTGCTACGACGACTAGTACTTAAGTGTCTCCACGAATGCCACTGCTACAGCACCACCACGACCACCACCAACACAAACAACACCACGATCCCTACCCCCCACCCCCACCACCAGCACCACCACCACAAACACCAGTACCACCATTTTACCAGTATCATCACCAATAGCACTACGAAAGTGAGGGAGAGAGAGAGAGAGAGAGAGAGAGAGAGACAGTAGCCATTTTGGCTCAAGGTGCCTACATCGTGGACTTCCTGAAGCGCGTCCACGAGAGCTCAAGGGGGCGTGTAGGGGGGAAGGGGCTTGACTGTGCCCCAAGATCCGGATCCCCTACCGCTCCACAGAGTATCTAAAGTCTGTACGTAGGCATCTGAGCCATAGCACTGAACTCGGCGGGCCTGCCTTTCAACATCTCGCGTTGTACCCTGCAGCAGAACAAGATCTTGCACGTCATCGAGAAGAGCAAACGGTTCTGGTGTTCCCTGAGATTCGAGCCCCGTGTGATCGGAACTATCAACGTCACAGCAGCAATATTGGGAAATCTGGAAGGTGGCAACTCGCAGATCTTGATGACCTCGGAGCTTTTCAGTCCCTTTTGCGGATTTAGCCTGGCGAATATCTATCAGAGTGACTGCCGCTCTCTGCCTGCTCGCGATGACGGGTTTGAAGCGTGTATTGGGATGCCCCCCGCCCACCCTTCAGAGACTACACTGCACTACTGCTGCTTGTTCTGACACGGAGCTGGCGAGAAACAGCCAGTTGGCCACACATTTCAGGATCTGATTGGGTCGATGTGACTCTGTTGCTTGTTCTGACACGGAGCTGGCGAGAAACAGCCAGTTGGCCACACATTTCAGGATCTGATTGGGTCGATGTGACACTGTTGCTTTGCTTGGTTTGATTAGTTGTCTTACAGCAATGGGTAAGACCAACTCGGTGCCAGCAATCCTCGTCCTTTCACCGGGGGATGACTGCATGCTTCCGTCAATGGTAGTTCCGACTGACTTGTAACATTAGCTAACCCTTGCCGCCCATGTAGCCTTCAGGCCTGTTTGCCAACCTGCGACTGCCTGAAACCCAACTGTTTAAAGCCTGCTGAGGCACCAGACATTCCGTCCTAGCAACCAAGACTTTCCTTTTTGCAATTCGATGCCGATATGCACCTTTTCCCGAGGGGAGGCCAATTCACTCGGTGCGATGTCTCTTTTGCCATCCTGCTAGATTTCAAGAAACATGAATGATTGGAGTGAAGAACCCTGACTTCTTCATATGTCAGGTTACAATACTTGGCGTATGTCAGGGGGATTCAACCCAGACCCAGAGTGTTTGCCATGTCACAGACAAATGGATTGTTGATCCCTGTTCCGTCCTTCCTAATACAATATGTTGCTCCAAAACAGGGGGAAACAACCATCTTCTTACACTCCTCCAAAGCCCCCAATAAACATCGGGGGGGCCCTTGCGGCCGGGGGGCTTCGAACACCCCTCATGCCCCGGGGAAGAAGAGACAGAGAGAGAGAGAGAGTGAGTGAGTGAGCTGGAAGTCTACACCCTGCAACACTCAAGACAAATCCTGTCAGCTCGACAGCAGCTTGCCATTTGAAGTGCCAGAAAGGTCACAAACACGAACAGGCCATATGCCTGAATACCTTCTAACCACGTCAGCCCAACTGAAGCCAAAACCCTGCTTAGCCGGAGAGCGTGTCTGTCAGGACGGCAACAACAACTACGACGTGACTAAGGAGGGTGCCACGAAGGGGACCATGAAGTTCTATCAAGGCAGGGTTCTGCAACATTGGTCTTACACGTTGCTTGTTTTTGTGATTTGTTTTGGCCCTATGTCAGTCTTCCTGTCGGTGAACGCGGTGATTACAATGAAGACCCGGCCAGCATCACCCCCAGACGCACAAATCAAACAATGAAATTGTAATCCCAAGTAGGAGACTCCAGCGACAAGCGAGCCTAGACATCGTTGTACCACGGGAAGGAAAGGAGTGTACGATAGTGTTGTGGAACTCATGTATAGCGATGCGGAGCAATACAAAGCATGCTGCGAGAGTACTGTGCGTAAACTTTTGCCAAGCTCCCCTCAGCCCCAGCTGGTACGGGCACTCTTTGAGTCAGGCTCCGAGCTGTATATCGAATGGCATCACCAGCCACCCGGCCAGGAAAGTGCCGAGTTCCGAACGTGTTGTCTTTGGATCAGTCAGTCTGTCAGTGTGTGTGTGTGTGTTACAGTGCAGCGCATCCGTCATGTGTAGGTTGAGTTGTTTCCTAGCTGCTGTCGGAAGAAGACCCAGGCCCAGCATTTTGAACCTCAAATGTTGTCTTATGTTCACCTCCGTAACACCTTAGTTAGGCCTCAGCGATTCAAGTTATCTCTCTAGCAGCAAGCAAGGCCAGAGAGGCATGGGTGGGATTTGTGCCTGGAGACAACTGTGAGCCTGTGAGTATGGATTTGGCGGCCCTGTTTGCTTGTTTTCGGCACTGCATGAAGAAATGTCAGGTACCGTAAGGCTTCTTTCGATAACTCTTTCCAGTCTTTGAGGCACGGCTGTGGCGTTGGCCACCCGAACCTGAAGTGCCAGATTGTTCTGCAGTATATGAGCTCGGGCCTCGTGATGGGCGAGGTTCCGGGTTACCATTTGTGCATGGGTGAGAGTGCGAGGCAGAGGCAGGAAGCAGGTCTAGGCCTGTAGGCTATCTCGCTTTTTGCACGGTGGTGGATCGGGGCAGAATCCACAGCAAGATCTTAACTCTATCTGGGCTTCTCAACTTGCGCTGCTTGCAGACTCCCATGGCTCAAGGCCATGGTCTCGACCTTCTCCAAGGATTCATGTCCCGGTATCTTGATCTCACGGTCCATATTGACACCGTTCGTTTTGGATGTGGCGTAGCGGCTCATGTCGCATCACTTGGATACATGGTTCCGGGTGATGCCTGTGTTTCTATGCGCTATGTTACAAGGGCTTTCGAGGAACCATTGCGGTTGGGGTCTCCTACGAACTCACGAGACTTTTCAGCTTGGGTCTCTCCAGGCTGTGAGCAGCCAGAGACATCAGGATCGACAGTTTTGTTGCCGATCATTGTTTCTGGTTGGGAGTTCACAGGCCGTGAAGAGGTCGTGGAGATGGCAAACACCAGCACTCCTATACAGTTCTCCTGTGTGTACTAAAGTATGCAGATTCTCTTTCACTTCCTGGGTCGGGCTGGTAGGTTGCTAGGTTGGGGGGACCTCGCAAGCTTTCACGCGACGGCTTAGAGGCTTCAGCGTGTGCAGCCTTTCTTCCGGCTAAAAACAGTAAATTCGTGCTGGCTGTCGACGTAGGAGCTGCCGTCGCACCCTGGCCTGGAAGAGCCTTAAACGAAACCAGCATCTATTTGTTGCGAAAGAGCTACGCTTACAAGCCTAAGCCAAAGCCCTGCCGTTGCCCAGATGAAGAAGAGAATCGCAATCTTCGCGATGGCACAGGCTCGAAGACGAGCGCATTTTCTTTGCTAAACCCGGATAATTGATAAGCGCCAAGTTGGCAAACTCAGAATGATGGTAGCCGCAGCTCTCTTCCGAGCGCCCGCAAGCAAGTAAGTTGTGCTTTCATGGCCCATGTCCTGCTAGCCTGAGACGATCATCTCCCAGTTCGGCTACCCTCACAAAACTCACAAGCTAATTTCCAAAATCCTGACCCCGTCAGCTCCCCAGCCCAAAACTAAAGCTTCCTGAATGCAACCTCCCAGCCTAGCCACCAACGCCAGCTGGATCTCGCAGGACAGGACACTGCCGGTGGCGATGACAACGATCCCACGGAGGCGGGGGGACGAGGATCCAGGATGCTTCTAGCGGAGTCGAATTTTAATGTGGGACACAGGAACGAAGTTGTTTCGCTGAAGAAGACGGGCCACGAGCTTTCTGTGAGTCAGAGCGTCTATCCCACGTTGTGTGTGTGTGTGTGTGTGTGTGTGTCTGTGTGTGTGTGAGAACCCCCCTAGCACATGGGAGCAGAGGGTCACTCCTTCTGTTTTTCACATGTGGACATTTGCAGGGGGCCATTCAGCCTTGCTATCAGGGAATGGCCAACGAAGAGCCTGATAGCAAGGTGCTGCAACGTACCTGCAAGGGGACCGAAACCATATCCCCGATGTGCCATGGACAGAACCCAATCCCTACTTTATGGCATTTTGAACGTTTTACGCCCTGCCCGGACATCGCACTTTGACCGCGGCAGTGGCAGCCATTCTCTATGTCTGGCTCCGGGGACAGAAGCCTATCCCACATTATAATGCCAGGGACAGGACCCATTATCCCTACTACGTGGCATTTGACGACTATAGAGGACAGGAGCCTCATCCTCACGACGCGACTTGACGACGACAACGTGCCTCTCTCTCGCCTCTCTCTCTTCCCCTTCCTGCACTCCTACTCTCGGCCGAATCCATCAGTGTGATCAGCGTGGGTCATGAGACTCCAGAACAGCGGCTTTCCGTCAAGGCGCCGTGGCGTCCCTTCGAGGGAAACCGGTGATAAACCGGATGTTCAGCCTTCGTTCAGACCGTTCAGATCTCCGGATGCTACTTTATCTCTGTCTCTCTCTCTCTCTCTCTCTCTCTGATGCCTGCATGTGAGCCTGACATGAGTGCAGTTGCAGTAACGGACGGCTAATGCGGTAATCTCGCCTCTAGTGCGCAGGCACTACCTGGCTAGTTTGTCCTCTATTCGATCGCTTCTTTATTCCTCAGGGAATGCAAGGGCATGTGCAACTGACATGAGTGCAGACGCAGTAACCTTCGTCTAATGCAAGTGGTTGCAGCTTCCTGCGGGAAGTAATCGGCCTCTCTTTCTCGTCTCTTTCTTTCTGGACTTCTCTCAATACACGCCGTCAGGGGCTGTGTGTGTGTGAACCTCCCTAGCACATGGGAGCAGAGGGTCACTCCTTCTGTTTTTCACATGTGGACATGTGCAGGGGGCCATTCAGCCTTGCTATCAGGGAATGGCCAACGAAGAGCCTGATACCAAGGTGCTGCAAGGTACCTGCAAGGGGACCGAAACCATATCCCCGATGTGCCATGGACAGAACCCAATCCCTACTTTATGGCATTTTGAACGTTTTACGCCCTGCCCGGACATCGCACTTTGACCGCGGCAGTGGCAGCCATTCTCTATGTCTGGCTCCGGGGACAGAAGCCTATCCCACATTATAATGCCAGGGACAGGACCCATTATCCCTACTACGTGGCATTTGACGACTATAGAGGACAGGAACCTCATCCTCACGACGCGACTTGACGACGACAACGTGCCTCTCTCTCGCCTCTCTCTCTTCCCCTTCCTGCACTCCTACTCTCGGCCGAATCCATCAGTGTGTCTGTGTGTGTGTGCGTGTGCGCGCGTGCGGGTGTGTTTGTTTTGTGTGTTGTTTTTGGCTCTGGAGTGATAGAGCTGACTGATGTCATAGTGGCATATCGTTGGGGATACAGGAATGCTTCGAACGGACAAGCATTTCAGAGGCTCTGGGCCTATGGATCTGTTGTGTTTGTCAGGAGGGGACCGCCGAGCCTGCGAGAGGCCGGATCTTGCTGCAAGGGCGTTCAAGTGCCATCGGCCTGTTGACAAATCAGGTTTGAAGCCGGAAGTTGAGGTGTTTGGTATTGGGATTTGGGCTGGTGTGTGATTTTGATCAGTCGTTTGTCTTCATCCAGGCGCTTTACTGCTGAAACCTTCACCCACAAAGCTAGCAATCGAAGCTGTTCAGTCAGCAAATTCGACTTAGCACCTGCGAATCCCTCAGTGACCCGCGGGCGCAGGATACCACGAGCCTTTGGACTTCTACCAGGCAGCCCGGTTCTAGAACAAACACTTTACATGACTCTACGCTCTGCGATATAAACAGCTGAAGACACTGTGCAGGACTGGGTTCTGGATAACATGGAATGTTCGGGTAGTGTCGCGCATGCAACAGGATAATGGCTTGTTCAGGGCTCGGTCCAGCATTAGGTTCCGAGACGCCCAGAGCGAGGCAGTTTTGACGGGCCTGTAGTGTCTTCCGCGCTGGTAATTTTGAGGCGGCAGCACTGGCACGCTTCGATGTTCTCGCATGAGGAAAATCATGGTGATGAGTGGCTTGAGTAACAGCTGTGTGTTTTAACTCATGTGCCGAACCCTTGTCGAGAAAAGCCCCTGTGAAGACTCCTAGCAAAGCCTATAGAGTTCTCAAACAACCGGGAGGCTTGCATTGCGCGAGAGCGCAACAAAGGCCTCTACACTGCCGACAGGCCGGGCTTCGGTTAGAATGGCAAAAGCAGACGCATCGGGAGACGCCGTGCCTTTAAGGAATGCTCCAGTTGTAAATGCACCCGCTCTTCATGTCATTCAGTACACCACTTTCGCGCTCCAGCCAGCCCACCGTGAGCCGAAGAGCCTCAGCACCGCTAGGGTATGAACGACAGCTGCCATACAACAGCAGATCCCACGCGCGAAGCCTGAAGCTCCGGGGCCCAAAATCCTAAGCCTTTGCCCGGGAAGCCTTCCCCGATAGGCAGATGGAGGAAAATGGTGGAGCGACCTCTACACGGCAGAATCCGAACCCTGGAAGTCTAAGAAGTTCTAAGATCTTCCGATAGGCTTAGGACGATCCATGATTCTCGGGTTGAGCGCACAAGGCCCAAGGAACGATGTTTGGATTCGAAATGTAAGAGTTCAGCTAGGCCATCGGTTGTACAAATCGGCAAGATGTAAATTGTAGCCGTGCAGCCTTTGTCGCTGGACCTTTGACACGACACTCTCGGCACTGAGTCAAACCCATGTGCAAAGAGCCGATTCAACACCACGGATCAATGATGCAGGACTCCGTCATAGGAGCTGTAATTAAGGTTCGGTGCTGCAGTGTAATTACTATAGGTCGTAAGGAGTAGCTAGGCTCATCATGTTGCTGCAGAAATTGCCACAGCACGACTCGATCAGGCGCATTGAACTCAGGCTCTATGCGAATTCCGAACTGCATGCGTGCCCACATGGTTAGAGGCACGAGACATGGTTTGAACACCTAGCACAGCTTTGCATCAGCCTGAGACTGACCCAGAACCAGCAAGCTCCGGCACTGTAACTTGAATGCTCGATGCGAGAAGGAACGGCAACGGCCGTCGCCGTGGGCAACAGCGCCACGGCTTGGAATGCCCTGAGGTCGGACATGTGGGATGTGGCGGGTGTGCTTCGGCCGTTGGTGGGCGTTGATTTGTGTAGCATCCGCAAGGCTCGAGTGTGAGCGGATTCCTTGCATTCACCTGGGTCGCTCAATTTCAACTGCCCAGCTTCAAGCCTTCGGAGGCCAAGCAACACGAGATCCTTTAGCATAAAACGACAAAGCCGTCCCTTCCACCGCCACTTCAAGCATTGGACAAGGATTTGTGAGGTCAGGATTTGTCAGCAGAACCCCAGAGTGAAACGACACCAACGCCCTACAGTACCTGTTTAATTACCTTAAACTATAAATCAACTCGTCCTGGAGGAGCGGGACTATTATCCATATTGGCATCCCACGCCTTGGCACGACATTGCCGTGCTCACCGATGAGCCACAGGCCAGCAGAAAGCTTTGCGTCTTTGCGGCTATGGGCTAAGGGCGCACGGAGCCGCTCAGACCCTGGACAAGGGAGTCGCTTCGCAGCCACATCAATACCCTACTTATAGCTGCCCGGACCTCTGCAGGGCTGAAGTTTCGAGCTCCGGCTCGAAGAACCTCAATACGCAGGCGCATCAAACTGAAACACCCTGTATATACACCAAAGTCTAAACGCTGCAGCAGTGCATCATTTCAACACAAGTCCCACGAGAAGCTTGAAATCCGGAGCCCATGTCAAATTCGAAGACTTGCTGTGTAGCCTCTGTAGCAGGTTCAGGGGTCGCAGGTCCAGGCTCTATTGCCGCAGAGCTTCTCCAACCTCGACTCCGACTCGAACCAGCACCTAGAAAGCCGTGATGATCCAGACCGCAGCGCGTTTGGCAACTCTGAAACATGACTCATTTATCTGTACACTCTCCAAACCACATCTCTGGCATGTTCCGAAAGGCCAGATGCGAGTACTATCGCGCGGAGTCCCAAAATGTCAAGGCTGGAAGCAAAGCGAACGGTTCTCGAGAATCTTGAGCGGTTCGTGCATGTTTTGTTTGTTTTGTTGTCTCGCTCTCGCTCTCTCGCTAGTTCTCTCTCTCTCTCTCTCTCTCTCTCTCTCTCTCTCTCTCTGTGTGTATGCATGCATCTGATGACACGTGGATGGCATGTCAACGCTGATACAATCCAGCGAGAGAGCGAGGCAGAGCTACAGATTGAGTTCAATCTTCAGGGACTGCGGCGTTGTAAGCGTGATGACTCTGCTTATTGCCTTTCTTGCTGTCCGCCAGAGTCTTGCTACTGCGCTTGATCGCTGAATGGTCTTCTAGTATAGCTTGGTACATCTTATCTTTGTTTGATCTACGTTTTTTACAATCATCTCTACAAGAACTTCTATTCCCAAGTACTGCTAGTCCGGGTAGCCTGGTTGCGGCTGTGACTCTACTGACCCTCTCGGGTTTCTTTGCAGTTATATGATATGATCATCGATGCTAGTCATATCAGCGCGTGTGTGCACAGGCCAAGGGTTCCTGCTCTGTTGCGGCTCACAACAACCCAGACTCCTGCATTGGCAACGATGGGCAGCCCCTGAGCTGAGACCAGTTTACATGTGCACTCGTCTCCGCATGGTCATGAGAGAGATGGAGCTGCGGATGGGTTGGGCCCAATGCACACACTTAAAAACTGTGTGGAAGTGGTGGTCGGGTCAGTGCCATGAGGCTTCGTTACAGAAACGTGTTTTGTTCTCAGTGATGCAAGAAAAGAACAGAAAAGATCTATGTCGGATTACGTCGGGGGCTGTCCAGCTTTGCGTTCATAGGGGCAGGTTCTTGGCTTTGGGGTGAAGAAGTACTTGTTCGCGAACTCATAAGGAGAAGGAATCCGCACTACCCATATATAGGTTAGGATCCAGATACGTGAGACTATGAGGTTTCGTTGCTGCCCAGCACAATCCTCAGTTTAGCAGAAGTAGTGTAGAGTCACATGGAAAAGTGGCGCATTTATCCCGTAGGTTGGCTGTAAGCCTTGGATGTTCGTTTTTCGTTGCGGGTCTGAGCGGGTTAAGTTTCGGATGCCGCAGCGGCCCCTGGAATGAACACACCAAGAGGTTTCACGTGATTCCACATGTCTGAAAGGACTCACTAGTGACGGCACCGCTTGGCCCTTACAGGAAGTCTGAAGTCCAGAGATGGCCAGGCGCGTTTGACATGCTCTAGTTATAATGGCGGCAGAACTCGTGACATTTTTGCATGCAGCATCTGACAGTTCTGGCGAACCGCGGAAAGTCGCAGCCAACGCGCCCTATATCTCTCCTAGAGCTTCAGTTGAAACTCTATACCTGAACTGCCCTGATCCTTACACACCCCACATTCCAGTGTGTAGCCTGAGCACGAAGCAAAGGTGGACAGAGCAAGATCCTTGGCAGGAACCACCACCAGAATGCATCGGTGGCTCGGCCTCATGTTTTCAGTTTTTTGTTCTGAAGGGGGGGGTGACAGCTCAGGGGGTGTGTCATGACTCTGAATTGAGTTGCGCAGTGTACGGCTGCTTACGACAATTCGGTTTGACCGCAAGCTCGTCAGCCATGTGGGGCTGAATGATGGGAAGGGCAATTGGCATTCGGAACAAGGAGGAAATACTTTGGATGTTCGATGTACAATGAAAAATGAGGGTGAGTGTAGGATCCTGAGGCATTGATTGCGAAAGTCTGACCCCAAATTGTGCATGACGGTGCTGTTTCCTTTCATCCGCACACGATGATGCCCTCAGCGCTACACCAGGACCCCAATCGAAATAGCTGAGGGTCCGTTATTCTTAGTGTCGGATCCTCACAGGCGGCATCCAGAGCCGTGACAACCACAACGGCAACATTAGAAATGGCTGCCAGGCCGCATGGAAAGGATTCCAGGTCGCAGCAGGCTTGTTCTGTCTTTCGGCGGAGGGTGCACCGCTGATTTCTGGAAGGCGTGCCCTGCAGGAGACGCTTGTGACCGTGCGATTGCATTGTTCGCTGTTTTTTTTTCGATTTGCAGCTTTGATTCCAGAGTTTGATGGCAAGCGACGCTTCTCTTTGAAGTCTCGTATTGAGGCATTTTCCATGTGAGTTCCATGGAGCCCGGCAGCCCTGTACAAGCCCGACAGTTAAAACTTAAAACCAAAAAACACAACGTGCTGAGGGCAGCCGCACTACTACCTCTGGAAGATCCCGAAGCATGTGAAAGGCGGCCTTTGGCGTTACCTATAGGCTATCGATGTAGTGAGGAGAACCCACCGAGTTTTTGGGTTGGGGCTTCACAGCCTTTGCCGATGCACATTTCCCTCATCTATACAGATCCGGAGAAAAAGACTAGACGCGATGAGGATCCAGCTTCGGGCATGGTAGTGTAGGCTCGAGGCATACAGTGGACCCTCAAGAATGACGGGACAAGGACAACATCACCATCCATGTCAGATTCAACAGTAACAGTACCATAGGCGATAGTGGACCTGTTCTGGTCACTACCACTAGCAAGCCGCCACACTTCTGATACTTTCGGACCTTGGGTCGCCCACGATCCAGAAGCCACTGCCGGTAGGCCGCACGGTCCTGCGCATCCGGTACAACATCTCCACAGGCCCTGGACAAGATTGCCGGATTCGGGGTTCTTGGAGTGGAGTTTTGTGGTGCAGGTATTTCAGAATCAGGGCGTGCGGTTCGCGTCTGATGGTAGCTGGGACACGAAAGGGCAAAGCATTAGACAGCGGTCCTGTTGCGCCTCAACTCCGCAACAGGTGACAAGCCAATTTTTCTTCGATCACAGCTGAATCAAAGTTTGAGGGCTGACGAACCTGTGCCGGATGATTCGATCGGAATAAAAATATATGCTGACACGCTACACCGCGCTGGTCTGTAAATATCTGGCACGATGGGCCAAGAGCGGTGAGTCTAGGGAAATCCTGAATCTTGAGCCTGGGCTGTCATTCATTTGCCTGCAGGAGACTTTAACTATGGCTCTTTGGCACATCCAAAGGTCGAGGGCACGGAACTCACAGGCGAAGCAAGCTGCGGGGTGCAGTATTTTTGATTTTGTGTGCGGGGTCCATGTTTTTGGATCTGTTTTGAGGACTTGGGATCATAGGATGTTGCATTGAGGTTCCCTTGCTATTCTGAATAGACGCTGACGCAAGGCTCACGGTTATATGTACTCATGTGAGGGTGGGGATGGACGGATGCTTGAGAAACGGACAGGTGGCTTGGCCGACGCCTTCTTCATGGACCAGCGTTTCAACGATCCCCAACCGAACACCCGACGTCGAAGGACTGGGTCACATGAAACTAGCCTGTAGCAATCAGAGAGCAGCCCTAAACGCAAAAACAAAAACGCAAGTTTCGGGTTTATACATGTAAAGTGCCTGCTGATTCGCTCCGGTCGAACATGATCTTCTTTTTAGCCGGGCTTGGTGCTATGTGTAGTTGGGGAATCGCGGCGAGGTTGTGATATCGCAGTTTCAGCTTCAGCACGTGTCGATCGACGAGCCGATTCATACTGCACATCGTAATCATGACGGCATGTGCAATTAGATGGAGATGTAGCCATGCACGGCACGTAGGTCGCCAAGTAGAAGCCACAAGGCTCCAGAAGGCCTCAGCCCTTGCAAGAGGTTCTGTATACCTGCAATATCGAGACAGATGGCACAGCTCTCATGTTCGCGCCTATTGCCTTGGTGCCCCTGCCAGTATCTTCAAGGGACGCCCGAGCGTTCCGATTCCTTTGGCCCAAGACCCAGCACCTGGGCCGTTGACAGGGTTTCGGGAAGAGGGCGTTGAGGAATTTGATAGCACAACTGTAGCTTGCACGACGGTTGCTGGTGGATTGCTGCAATCGGCAACTGGTTCACCCGGCGATGCCTCGAGCGTTTGCACCACAAAAGCACGCTTTCCTGGAGCAAGCGGTTTTCCAAACCCCGCGGTACATGATTCAGGGATTTCGGCTGTAGGATTCCTGAATTAGTGCATGCAGGTTTGTAGAACTTGTTCACTAGTATTTTGGACATGGCACTCGATCACTTGCAGTCGTGGGGAAACCATTTGTCAGCATGGTGACGCTCTCCGCACTCTACAACCTGCTGAAGCCCTGGAAATCCAAAGTCGAGCCGCAGTAGAAGCCGACTCGCTTTGAGTTAACGACTCGCGACGAGTATAGGGACTCAAGAAGTCGTCTGACAGCAAAGCTTGAGTCTCAATGTCCCTTTAGCCTGTAATTGGCCATACTCGTGATCATAACTGTTGTGGTATGCTCGGTATGAGTTGCCTGAAGGAGGGTCATCGGAAATTTCCGGTCATAACGCAGAGACGAGCGAGAGTTGCTCAGGTATGTTTTCTTGTATCGCAAAATGGACACGACAGTATCGAATCTCCAACAAGTTGAAGCATATCGACTCGCCATCTCTGTAGCCTTTGCTTCCTAGCACACACCAAGCGTGAACTATCCAGCTGCCAGTAGCAAAGACTCAAGAAGTCAGCAAGCT